TCGTCTTCCAACCAGAAGGTTGAAGGTGAGAATCTCGGTGCCTCCAGTCCACGTGTCGAAGTGTCCTTGGGCAAGATACTGAACCCCCCCAAATTCCATGTGTGTAACATACTTGGCCAATAAAGGTGATTATCCTTATCCTAAATACTCGAGTAACTCAGAAGTACACTGAGTACAGTACTTTGGTAAATGTACTTCGTTACTCTGTCTGTATCAGTGTGTGTGTTTAGAGGCTGATAAGAAAATCTGAATAGAAACAGAAGGTGCTGTTGTATCAGCTGAGCGTCAGACGACAAACCCAGTGACGGTCTGACTCCAGCTGTGGACCAGGATGACGCTGGTTTCCTGTTGTGATCAGCTGCTTCATTAGATAAAGGCTGTTTCCTTACACTTCCTGAAATATGACCAACATCAGCTGATGGCTAAAAGCAATAAAGGAGAAATCTGACCAGTGTTTTTTTTTGGTGCATTAATAACACAGCCTGTCATGAGCACTAAACAAACATGAGTCTGTGTCACTGGTCTATTTACAGTGGATTCATCACGGCCTTCGAATCATGTTTGTCTTTAACACTGCCGACATATCTATGTAGGTGGCGACATTCCTGCTTTTCAGGATCACACTTACTCACTGTAGCGCTGCTGGCCTTTTCTAGAACTTTCTGCCCTCCTGTGTTTATTTCATGTTTCCAACTTGAAGAATGGTCTTTGATGCCACACACACTGAACCTGACACTGAGAGAAGAGACGGCGAAGTGGCAGGATGCAAAGTGTCACTTTATGTACACAAGAAAGCGTACTGACCTTTGTGGCTTCTCCAGAGGCAGAGCAGCAGCATCGAGGCCAACAAGATGCAGACGCCCACCACAGGAAGCAGAACCAATGTGACAGACGAGCTCTGTGACGGATCCGGACGCCCTGCTTCAAAACAGAAAGTTCACAGTCTGACCTCAATGCAAACAAACAGCCCCCAGTCTAATCAGCCCAGGGGCTTTGTGCTAAGCTAAGGTAAACATGGGTTAGTCTGTGGAAACAGTGACTTTAACATCTATATTAAATGTGTCAGTGCTATGAGCGCAAACGAGCACAAGTTGTTGGAATATTCCTTTAAAGTAGAGTGCCCTCTGTTTGATAGAGGTGGAGCCACACTAAGTCAAGCTGCTACAACCAAATGCTTGGAAAGACTTTGTCAGAATGTCTATATAGTCAAGATGAATAAACAACAGCTGGAGAAAACACCCTCAGTTTAACTGTCAGCTGCTTCCATGTGGTAGATGATTAAATTAAATGAGACAATACAGGGATTTTTCTGGTGAAACAGCTGTGGCTGCTCCCAGAACGGCGTCTGAGGAAACAGGGGCTTGGCGAAGCCCGGCCCCCTCCCTCCTGTAGGCTGCTTCATCCCCACCAGTGATGCGACCTATCACTGCGGTGTCGTCCGTGAACTTGAGGATGATGTTGTCTTTGTGGGAGGCGACACGGTCGTGGGTGAACAGGGTGTAGAGGATGGGACTTCTCAATAAACTCATTGGCTCTTCTCTCTTTTTTCCCTCTTCTTACAGACAAACATTTGCTACAGTTTCTCTTTGGTAGGGATGTGTCTGCTAACTTCCCTTATTCACAAAAAAGTTCTCCCTTTCCTTAACCACATGAAATCTTGAACCATGAAGTCTGAATCATGGGACCAACAGGTCATGGTTCACAGAAACCATGAATTGGGTAAAGGAAGACACATTTTAAAAAGTGGGCTAGGCTCCAAATTAATTATTTAATTTATTAAATACAGTTTCGGCATTGTTGCCAACTTGGCAACTTTCTCGCTGAATCTGGCGACTTTCCGAATTCTCTTGGCACGTTTTTTTATATATATAAAAAGCGACTAGCGACAAATCTAGAGACTTTTTCTGGTGTTTTGGAGACTCAAACATGAAAGCAGAGGGTGCTGCCTTGAGGCCCTGCCCCGTTGCAAAGCACTCATAGCCGGTCAGTCTCACAGTAGCCTCACGCAGCATTCCCAGCTTCAGTCAGAGCAGAGAGGAGACCCACACCGCTCCCAGTGTTGCCAACTCCTCAGTAAGGAAATATTGGCTGTCCTAAAGTAGCTAGAAGTCGCCAAATGACGTCATCGCCTAATTTGTAAAGGACGCTGTAGGAGAAAGGAATGACGTCATGGGAGAGACAAAAAGTGAGTAAAAACACCCTAAATATGTTTAGTACTACAAATTAACTTTATTCTGTTGATTCTTGGTTTGCTTGTTTTTTATTTTGCCATTGAAATAGGCCATCACTTCTCAAAATAACTTCATGACTTGAATACTTTGTCTTGACCCACATTACATAAATCAGTTTTGTCCTGTATTGGTAAATGCTAGAATATCAAATTTAATCAATTCACCCTCCTCCTTTATCCGGGCTCAGCGGCGGGCTTGCGCATGCGCGCTTCATTAACAGTTTGGACGCGGGGCGGTGTGGGTCCAAAACCCAGGCGGTTTGTCAACTTCTTCTTACCTCACTGCTTCCTTCTTTCATTACGGATGTGATTCTGAACAATAAGAGAATTGAGTGAAGCAGCAAAGTTACAGCTGCTTTCAGTGTTGTGCCCTGTGTTAGGGTGATTTTCATTATTAGATAGAAATGAATATAATTAGATAGGGTTTTTATTATATAGCCTACATAAGTCTATATACTTTAATCTCACAGTAGTGTTTATGTTTATGTAGTTACATATCACCCTATGTGTTCACTGAATCACTGGTCAGTATTTACTGTGTTAGCCAACTGGAGCACTGTTTAACATCAAGGGGGACTGGTTCACTAAAACACTGAATCTCATTAGATTTACAGCTTTGGCAAAGAGGGTCCACAGTTAATTTATTATCACCACCTGGCTGATGAGCCCAGGGGAATTAGGGTTCACTGGGACACCAAGGTTAGTAAACAGAGATTAGATCTGGAGGCTGGAAGAGGAGAAAGCTTCAAAGGTAGAACCATTATGTACACACACACAAGCAGAGCAGTTTTAATTGGTGAACCGGAAAGCAATGCCTAATACGGAGCAGTCAGTTAGAAACAAAAGAAGAAGTGGGTGTCTATGTAGAAATTAAGGCAGTGTAAGTATTCCTCCAAGTACAAAGAAATAACACAGTGTGGTACAACTGTTGTTCATTACAGGTTTAGTAAATCAGAGTAAACCACTCAGACACAGATTCAGTAGCTACTCACCAACCACAGTGCACAGTGTTGTTATCTCCATGCTGCTTCGCTGCTGATGTCGCCTGTAGGTTGACTGGTTGACTGGCTGACTGACTGGAGGAACGGGGGGCTGTATCACACCTGACATCTAACTGCATATCGCATTGAGGCCACAGCTTCCTGCTGTTATGAGCATCTCTATGTCCAAGTGTGTGAAGAGTTGCTTTGTGCAGGATGTTGTTGCTTGTTGCTGCAACTCAAATGTGGAAGGTTTGTGTCTCTGGCCTCTTTTTACGATTTGACTTTATTTATTACAGCAAACCCGTCAGACAGCTTTAAGAATATGAGGACGCTGCTTTTCTCTAGTTTACATTGTTAAGTAAATCTTTTTGGGGGGGTTGACTGTTGTTCAGAAAACATGTATGATATAAAGACCTTGGGCCCTGGAATCATCATTTTCATGACCGTGTGATGTTTTATAAACTAAAACATAACTGGATTAAAAAGGAAACTGATCATGGAATGAATCATTAATTACAGCCCTGTTGTTTTACATTTACACCTGAAGAGTTGAGAAAGATCACAGTGGCTGATTTGACAAGTTGTGAGTCTAAATGATTATCAGCTGTGTTTTTATCAGTAATTAAAGGTGGAAACCCCAGTGAATTTCACTTTCAGTGATACTAACAGAGAACTTATGGTAGTTCCCAGGGCCTCCCAGAATTTCTTCTTTCAGTTTTATAGTGAATAACTCCTACTGGAAAGTAAAAGAGTTTATTGTCATTTTGTTTATTTAATAAACACAACAGAAATCATGAATCTTGTGATGTTTATCAGTCATATGGTCTGTGGGATTCAAACCCATGTGCCTCCAACATGTGTTCCAGCAGAACGTACTATGATGTAATGTCATGATCCCAAACCCCAGTGGATGCTCACATGATCCTCCATTACCCTGAAAAACAAATAACTAAATGGAAAAAAAAGACCTTATGTAGTCCATGGGGGTGTCTCCACTCTCATTCTTAATCCACTATTAATACTATTTGGTGTGAAGAAGAGAAATAATGAAAAACCGACTCCTTGTTAGATTGTTATACTTAAACCATCTCAAGAAAAATCCAAGCTCCAATTTTTATTAGTCTTTGTAGGTTTACCTTCTGAAAAAAAAACTTCCTCACTGAACGGGGAAAAAGGACACGTTTTAAAAAGTGGTCTAGACTTTAAATTAATTGTTTGACTTATTAAATAGAGCTGTTAACTTTGGATTTAATCACCAAGCAACATAAACCAAATCAAACCATGATGTCATCACGTATCCACGTAGCGAATGTGTCTGATCACGTGTCTCGGACTCAGTTTATATGATGGAGGCGTTTAACCTGAGCTCAGTCTTGTCGGCCACGTGTTTCGGGCAGGTTCCGACATGTACCTGAGTAAAACACACTTTACAGGTTTTACCTTCTCTCTGTCCCTCTGCACTTTGACCCTCCTCTTGTCTTTCGTCTTCGGGACGTCCGCTGAAGGTAAACAGACGTGTTACTGTCATATACGTTACTGTTAACTAGTTGATTTTATTGGTTTATGCTTCAGTTTGTCACTTGAGCGACTGTTCAGTGAAAGAACATGTTTTAGTGGTTCCGTTTTTGAACTGTAATATGAAGTTAAGTTAGTCGTTATACCCAGTGAACGACAGCTGTGTTTAAGTTGTGTGTATGTGTGTATCACTGTTGTTTAGCGTTGAAGATGTTAAGTTCTGTGTTTGGACCTCGTTTTTAAAAATGTGTTTACATTGTCGAAAACTAATCAATCCGAATTAGCTGTTAGTACTTCATGTTTGCTCTGTACTATTGAATGTACCGACAGCTGTCACCGAATTACTTTGATACCGAAGACAACTTTAAAACGTGATGATTCTCAGGCGAGTTCGGAGCCTAATTAGCGTTTTGTTTTCTGTGGTTTCTAAGTGGGTTTATGGTGTTTAATTACAGATGACATGGGACATGATGAAAGTCTACATCACACTGGACCTAAAAATGTGTGTGAGCTGTTAATACACGTAGAAAACTTTAATAGTCATGTAAAATAACCTGTAGCAAACAAATGGACAAGTCAAGTAAAATGATCGTCTCTTTGTTTAACACTAATTAACAAAAATGCTATTAACCTTAATTTGGAATCAGAAGTCTATATTAAAACGAATGTTCTAGCTGTTCCAGTCATTTCCACTGATGCTGATTCATTAACTGACTCAGAGGTAAATTCCATGTGTGATTGATCACAGACTCTGAAACTGGGCACAGCATCATGTTTTGAATAATTCGGTGGAAACGAAACGCTGCCTTGTTTTAAATTCAAATGTTGGGGTTTATCCAGCTTCCTGATAAGCAGGCAGCTGCTGTAACGGTAATAACCGTTAGTAACCATAGTAACGGCCAACGGCTTTGGTCCCAGACCAAAAAGCATTTTCCTTCCTTCTATCAGCCTGTTGGCTTGTAGAATAACCAGGGCTGTTTGAAAATGAAGATTTATTTATATTCAACATTTATGGCTGATTAGGCTATATAAAATTTGCAGGTCTTAAAAATCATTGGTTTCAGTGTCATTAAAAAGGCCAGTCTTAAAATGAATGTCTCTTGGTTTTAAAAATACTCTTAGCCTACTGTACGGCAGTAACCTTAGATATAAAATGTTTTACCACGAGTGATTTTTAGCTAAAACTAGACAAACATCTTACAGACCTAATGTGGCCCTAAAGTAATGGTTTTCATAGATGACTCCATTCATTTCGTCCTCCTTATCCAGGTCCACGTCATGTTTAGTGATTAATCACATTGTTCCTAGTGTCCTATACACCTGGGTAGGGAAGACAAAAGGCTGAAAGTGCTCATCACACTGAATCTAAGAATGTCTGCAGGCTGTTAAACTGTTAGTAATGTCAGCATGTAGCTGAATTAATGATGTGGCTGCTGTTTAGCAACAAGCAGAAATCTTAGTACACGTACAACTGTTTAATACACATTTAAATGAATTTGTAGCCTGTTAAAACAAGCTGTCCAGTAAAATAAAGTGACCGTCTCTTTGTTTAACACCAATTACCAAACTTTAACTTAAGTTTAGATTCAGATTTCTACATTAGAAACAATAAAAACCAGATTAAAGACAACATGGTCAAAACAGATTTCCACACAACACCGGCAACCGGAGTTGTGCACAGTCTGAACTGTCCTTTCATTTTTAGGACGAGACTTTCTGGTTTTATCGTTCTGAAATAATTACAGACTATTTGGAGTTGTGAGCGATGCCACGCTACAATAAACAAAAACTGGATTAAAGACAACATCGTTTTATTTGAGTTTCTTTTTGTCTTTTTCAAAACAAAGCATATGTTCATTTAAAACTTCTTGAACTGAAATAAACTAATGAGAATCTGTCAGTCGACTCTCTCTCACTTCTGACTGTAAAGCGTGACGGCCATTCTCAGCCTCTGGAAATGTTATAAATTCACAGATGTTAATTGTTTAGCATTAAAATACTGAGATAATACACGATGTTGCAGCGCTAGGTCATAAAGTATTCAGATTCCAAATGTCACTCTTTATTCAGAAGTTTTACTTTTCCCTCTCAAAGGTTGGCCTCATGTGATTGGTGCACTTCAGCCAGTCATCGCTGCCCCAGGTGATGACGTCATCCTGCCATGCTATGTGGATCCTCCGGTCAGCGTGCGGGATCTGAGTGTGGAGTGGTCGAAGCCTGATCTCAAGTCCGACCCCTCAGACCCACAGAGCCGGGTCAGGTATGTGCATGTTTACCGGGGCAGACGAGAAGATGTGAATCTGCAGATCGGGTCATATGCCAAGAGGACGACGCTGTTCACAGACGCCCTGGAAAGAGGAAACATATCACTCCAGATCAAGAACGTGACGCTCGCAGACCAAGGCAGATACAGATGTTTCATCCCGAAGATAAATACCAACATGAATGACGCAGTTGTTCAGCTTGTTGTCGGTGAGTGCGTTTGTTTACGCTTTAACTTGAGATTGTTGAGAATCTGTTGAATTTAGACCTGAAACAATTAGTCAGTCAACAGAAAGATAATCAAGTGTTTTTTATGATCAATTGATTTGTGGGGGAAAAGCCAAATATTTGTGGATTTCAGCCTCTCAGAAGATTTGCTGCTTTTCTTTGTCATATGTGTCAGTAAACTGAATGTGTGGAGGTTTTTGTGCTTTTGGTCAAACACGACATTTGAAATCATCGGCTTCAGCTTGATGATGTTTCTTAAACTGAATGATTTGTAAAAATTACACGTTTTTGAATCTTGGGAGGTTATTTTGTCAAACTCATGTTGCTCTTGTCCTGTTACTGTAGTTTTTTAAATGAATGTTCTAACTCATTGGGAATCTTGTATTATTCTAGATCCAAAGTTTGTTAAAATGTCACCAAGCGAGCCGCCGCTGCAGCCCAGGGATCACCAAACCCCGGGTCCAGAGGACACGACACACGTTACAGGTGAGCAAACAGTTCAGCTGTGGGTCCAACAAACCCCTGAATCATGATCATATTCATGTTTCCCTTTGTCTCTGTTTGCTTCTTGTCACATCAGGCGGTCGGTCCCATCTGGCCCTTTGGATCCCGACTGTGGTTGTCATCATCCTGCTGATGGTCCTGGGCGGTGCAGTCGGAGGATACTTAGCTAAACACAAGGTCCTACAACAAGACAGTCAAACATAACAACATGCACCATGATGTTGCTTCGTCTTGTGTAAACCTTACCGTGCTTTTCTGGGAGGCAGCTGGTTAATTATTAACCTTGTCTTCATTGTTCATCCAGGTTCCACCGTATGAGGCCGCCCATAACAAACCAGCTCCAGCCTAGGTGCCTTGCTCAGGGGCACTTTCCTCGTTGTTGTTAGTGGGAGCATTAAAAGAGCGGGAGGTAAATGTACCACTCCTGGACCTTTGACCTGACTTCATGGATTCAAACCAGCAACACCTGCACCACAGGGACAGCCACCTCTACATGGAGTAATTGGATTGTTTTGCATCCAGAGCGTCTCTAACACCTGCTTCTGAGTGTGCAGGCAGTTTTTCACCCAATAAGAAGGTGAGTCATTTTCTATTGATTCTGAATTTGAGGAGCAGTCAAATGTTTTATCTCTGTTCACCTGCAGAAGTTTGAATAGATCCTAAATATATATTTATAGTTTCACTAAAGTTCGCATGGCGTCTAATCAGCTGGGCTGCAGGTTACCGTTCTGTCTGCTCATCACGTCCACTGTAAAGTCGTTGTGTTAATGAGAGGAGCTAATGTGTGTTTTCTTTATCACCTGAAGCTTTTGGATGCAGCCGTATCAAACACAGGAGGAATCTGATCCTCCTGGAAAAGGCTGTTTGGAAACGGAACCTAAATCCTCCTGTTGACTCTGCGTGTGATCAGTGGCAAGATCGCTCGGCATCAACATGAGCCTTCTTCTGTTTCTGTGGATACAGTTTGCTCAGATTTTATACCTCGTACTTAATTCTCAGCTGCACCTTTGTTGGTTGAGAACCTTTCGGTGGTCAACCAGAGCTGTTTCACATGACCTCACAGCGACCTGAGATCCAGTTTCATGCGCTCAAACCTCTTTTTATTTATTTATTTTTTTCTGTGAGTGTCATATTTTGTGTGGAACTGAAATCCATAATTTACAGCCTTTTGTTTTTTACCTCATTTAACCCTGGCTGGGTGAAGAAGAATGTTACCAGCAAAGACAAGACTTGTTGATTTGTTATAAATCCTCCTAGCTTTTATTTATATTACAGTTAAAACTGCACTTAAAGAGAGGACGCTGTGTAGAGGATTAGTTTATAGTTATTTCTGTTAGTGTAACTGACTTGAGGCCACACCCCCTTATTGTTTACATTCATTAAATGTGAGTCTACGAGCACGTTTCACACTGTGGTGTGTAAAATGTGGATTTGAGTTGCAGTTGTCTGGTACAACGGTTTCAGAGCTGAAGGACATTTATTTTGAAGTTTAAACGCTCGCTGCTCCTGTGACATCGACTGTGAAAGTGCCTTTGAGCAGGGCACCTCTTCCTCACTACAGTTATTAGATTGTTATTGTTTCTGTTTGGGGGAAAATGTTCCAATGTTTGGTTTTGAGCACCCACTTTCAAATCAGTTACCTCTAATGTAAAGTCAGACTGGAGTACTACATTAAAGCACGTTTGTGCACTTTATAAATCTGTTCTGTTTTAGGGATGTTAATGATGTTGAACAGTTTGTTCAAGCTATGACCCTTTATTTATTAAAAGTGTCTGCACCTGTTTTGTCAGGTTTATTTCTTATTTGATGCATCATAAATAACCACACTGGTAAGTGAATACAGCGGGTACAAGTCGCTGAATAAAGCATGTTTTCCAATAAAAACAGTGCTGATGTCATTGTGCCTTCACTCTAATGTACCTGTTACTTTGTGAAATGTCTTTGACCTGCTCATCAGAGATATCAGATGTTTGTTAGCAAGGTTTTGCTAAAATTCTCCCCTAAACTACCAAAGCATTATACTGTATATTAGTTTGTGCCTCCTTCCATTCTCAGTATAATGTATTAAACCTTTGTCTTATTTGAGTAAATCCAAACATATTTTAAAAGTTAAACTCTACCTTGGCTTGTTTTGAGTTGTGTGTACACAGCACGAGGTCTGATATCGTGAAAGTAGGTTATTGAAGATTGTATAATCAGAAAAAGTCAAAACCACACGTCCCTGGGTGGGCTCGAACCACCAACCTTTCGGTTAACAGCCGAACGCGCTAACCGATTGCGCCACAGAGACGGCGTAGCTTCTAGTTTCGAGGGGTGTGGCTTTGAAAGTCTCTCTATATATATGTTTCCAGAGGTCAGATTACGGTGGTGTGATTGGTCTCTGGTTGGTTCGTTATAATTCTCTGTACCGTAAATGGCCCAGACGTGTCCAGACATGGTGGATACGCCAGAGAACAACTGTCAAACCTCAAACGTGGCCAACACAGTAAACCCCTCTGAACAGATTCAGTCTTCAGTCCTCTCTTACCTGTGTTAGACATTTACTTCTAGAAGTTACACTTGATAAATGGCATAAATAGTCCCGGTCTTCACACTGGAAGCACTAACTGGGGTTTCCCTTTACATAAAACAATACTTTCACATTAATTACTCTAATTAGTTTAATTTAAATTAAGAGGGGGATATATATGTAAGGATACTATACAATAAACGCGAAGCTGACGCAGACAGTTGAACAGCTCGTCCCCGAGTGTTGAAGTACGATGCTGCCATCTAGTGGCGATAGTAGAAAGGTGTTGTATTATCTGGGACATTTCTCCTCCTCCCCTCCTCTCCTTGTTTATTTGTCATATGAACAGTTAGGACAATGAAATTCTTACTTTGCCGTGACAATGAATGGCACAAAATATAAAGCAGATAAATAAGTAACACAAAATCTAAGGCAAATCTAAGAAAACAGCTCCCAACCTTCAGTGGTGAAATATGAAGTACATTTACTGTGGGCTTCTTAAGTAGTGTTCAAGTGACCGAACATGTGTATTTCTACTTTATGCAACTTTATATTTCTACTCTACTAATGGTGGAAGAACTACTCAGATCCAGTAAGTCAGAAATACAACTGTGTAAAAATACTATGCTAAAAGTCATGTGTTTCAAAAATATTTGAGTAAAACACAAAAGTACCAGCATCAAAATACTGCATAGGTGTAGGCTATATTTAGGCAGAAACTATAGATTTCATGTGGCATTGCAGGACAACAGTTCCCTTTAACAACGCATTAAAAACAGAACATGATGGTATTCTAAGGTAATATTTATGCATTATTTCATATTTTTTTGTGAGAATGTTTTAGATGTACAAAACACCACGAATTGATATATTCTGAGTATACGAATATAGTTTTTCTGTGATTATTATGATTGTTGATAAAACTACTATTTCCCAGTTGTTTGTGAAAGCACCACCAGACCCCGTGATGCTGTCCGTGGTGCTGAAACAGCAAAACCCCCAAAGTTTCTTCTTCTCTTGTCTGTGTTCAGGTGTTGTTCCGTCACATTTAATTACGTTTGAATATATTATAGTCATAATTTACATATAGCTAATTATTCTCTGAAAGCAGCAGGAGCAGCTCTTTGGACTCGTAGATAGCGGAGGTGTGGTGACGTCACAGAAAACGTGACGCTCTTTCC